ATTGCATTGTTGTGCTCATCTTGACTGACACAGAGCCAGTCATTCCAACCATGGATTCAGGAGTCAGTCTCAGCTAGTTTGCCATTCCAGGTGCTTAAACATGGTTACTTTATCTTCTTTAACTATATTTTTAACAAATTTCCAAAGAATTTGAAAAGGTTAACAGCGAGCATGTTTGAAACAAAGGTTTTCTTCAGTTTCCAAGAATAATGGCTAGTACAAGTTACATATGAGCATAAATCTAAAAGAAGTGCTTGTTCAGTCTTTGACCTTAATTCAACTACTGCTCACTACAGTGTGCAATAAGTCATTATTAAGTCATGTTTCTAAAATGACTATTGATTTTCTCACACAGCAAGTGCTAGCCAAGAGCAATGACAAAATGCAGAAGCAGAGATAAGAGTGAAGTTTCTATGAGATCAGTCCCTGCAGACGATTAGTTATTATCCACAGCTGCTGATGAATCGCTCATCGCTGTGCTGCTTTGATCACTTTGCTCAAGGTAATTTCCTCTTATTTTGTAGTATCCCTGGCAGAAAAATCAATGACTGTTTGAATTACTTTGAATGGCTGAATTTGTATGAATAGATAAGTAATGACTGAATGATTTATAAGCTTTAATGGGGGGCGGGCGCTTTCTGGGCACACAATTCAAATGTCTTCGTGAGGTTTAACAGCTTGAACTGAAATACGAGAATTCCAACTTCCTGGCTGCTTGACCTCATCTGCCGCCGTGGCAGATTCCACGCCACGTTGTTGAATGTTACTACTGTCACATTTTAAATACAGTTATTAAAAACACATATTGTGTGCATGTTTGTGCATGTGTATGAAAACCAATTAATCTCCATGTCAGAACATCTGGAAGTCTATGCGTTCGAGTCCATTAATGCCTCAGAATAGAAGAGAATCTGAAAGAGGAAAGATACTCGTCCATGCATGCACACACGCAGAGCGCTGTATGTCTCTGATAGCTTCTATTATCTAGGTCTCCCTCCTGGCTGCACATCAAACATGGATGAGCTCCAGCCATAAAAGGCTCCATTTTCCTTTGATTTATACAAGGAATAAAAATCGGAAAGGTGAAAAGTCCAAACCATGCATATTTTATCAGCTCACTGACACCAAAGGCAAGACAGACCAAAAAATTTAACATATAGCTAAACCCAAAATAGACCATGATAGGACCAAAGACAGGAACTGCAATACTGAACCCCATTGATCTCAGTGACCAAACACCTTCTAACCTGATGTGTTACAGACTAAACTGGTAATCAAATTTGATCAACATGGAGATGAAGTAGATGATATGTTTTATATTTGTTCTAAATTATGATGGAGATGGAGTGAACAGATACTGTGTTAGGATCAATAAACCATTCCTCTGGGTCCTGTTTGTCTTATATCTTGTTAAAAGACACCAGTGATACCATCAGTACTGTGCCAAAGAGGGGCTTTATCTAGGTGTCCCTGTGGTTTTAGTTGTTATGAGAGAGAGGGTGAGGGGTTGTGAGGAATGAGTTTGTGTGTGTAGGTGGGCCTGGTGGGGGCTTGTGTGTACTGATAGAGTTTTGGTCACAATGAACATTATTATTATATTTTGTTTCATTGTCGGCCTTAGCAATGGTGGTAGGTATATTTGCAGCAGTATCTAGTCTCTAAGACAGGTGTCGAAGTGGTTAGCATTGTTGCCTCACTCGTCATTTGGAAACTGTCCTTTGTGACCGTGACATTGAATGGTTGGCTGTCTCTCTGTCTTGGCCCAGTAATGGACTGATGATTGGCTGGGAAATGCTCCTGCTCCTCTGTGACTTTGGTTAAGCGGTTAAAAAATGGATGTATGTTGAATAAAATTGTACACATGACATTGGACATCTCTGCTTAGACTGCTGTCCCATGTGGCCAAGACCTAGGTAAGGGTTAGAAAATGGATGGATGTTTGACTATAGACAGTCGTCAGAGACAATTCCATCTCCTTTCTTTTTGTTGGTTGAGGTCTTAAATATCTGTTAGCCCTATCACAAGCTATATGTATCTATGCTCCTTCCTTCCACCAGTCTATTTTCATATCTAAATTGCTGCACACCTAGCCCTGTTCCCATTCCCTCCTTCTCCTCTCATCCTTCCTTCCTGTCTCCTCTTGTTCCTACTTCCCATCTTCTCCCCTTCCCCTTCTTTCTCCGTTAGCCATCCTGTCTGAATAATGCAGTGGCCACACAGCTGCACTACCATTGTCCCAGCTTCAATGTTAATGTTGTGTCCTTGTCACAATTATTAGGTCACTATCATCCATCAACGCTAATCATTGTCATACAGATACGAACAAACAAAACACATTATGGAGAACAAAGGCACACACATGTAGAGAACAAAGGCTTGTATGGAGCAAAGAACCACGTTGTGGTTTATGACACTCGTGTTAAATTAAATGATGCACTTTGAAAAGGCAAACACAACAGGCACTTTATCATCAGAGAGAAATGAAAAAAGGAAATTAATTTTTTCTGTATGAAACCTTGATCTGAATTTAATGGCAGCATCAAGTCTCAAAAATGCTGGGATGGGGCACCAAAAGAACAGGACAACATTAGCAACTGGTTTCCTCAGTTCCCAGAGGTTTACACTCTGTTGCTAAAATAAGGTGACCATGTCCCAACCTTTTGAGACATTCTGCCTTCTGTTTTTATTGACACTTTGCAATGTATCCCAGCTATTCTATTATTGGGGATTAACAATGACAATGTTTGCTGCCACACAAGCAGACTGGGTGAGAATGGGAATTTGAGAGCATTTTATCAATAATAAAACTTCCGCATCTTCTGTGTCGATCACATCGTTGGGGTCTGGTTTTGCTTTAAATTTCTGGATTTCAAGAATGGAGAATGCTTGGGACTGAGCATGGATCTTTTGCAGGGTCATTTGTTCATCAGACAAATCCTTTTTCCTTAAAGGGTTATGTATAGATTTGGCCCACTACAGGGCTGAGGATGAAGGCTAATATGGATTAGGTTAAATAAGCCCGTTGAAACATGAAAGGCTGCTGATAGCTGATGTGGGAGTATCAGACATCTACTTGTAGAGACCTGAGGCTTTGGGGTATTGGCCGAGTGTGTGTTTTTCTGTGTGTCTGAGTGCTGCAAATGAATCGATAGCGATTAGAGCAGGCTGGGTTCTATTGCCTATTTAATTATCCTCCATCAAACAAACACGGTAGCATGTTAAGATCACTTGGGCTGCAGTTCTTCACATACACACACCCTCACAGAGAGAGGGCAGCAGTCAATTTTATTTTTCAAATAGAAAAAAAAATGAGAGGATCAAGGTCACCAGCAGAGAAGGACAACGGCCCTTAACCCCTGTTCTCTGTTAGGGGGAAATCTTTTAAAAGGTAATCAGCGAGGCTAGTTGGCAAGATAGAATTGAATATGAATTAAGTAAGAAGAATCTGATTTCTCTGGGTTTATTCGATAAGAGTCAGTGTTAGTGTCTTTCCTTTTGGAACTGGAAACTTGGGCAATTGATCTTACGTACTGTTCATCAGCTCAGCCCCATCATACATAAAGCTTTGTCTGTTTTAAAACATCTGAGCTGTTGTGGTCTACTGCCACCATCTGACTGCATGAATAATAAAGAATGGCAACATGTCAACGTAAAAACAAAACAAGCCATTTGGATGTCACAGCTTGGAAAGAGCAACATGGCCCCTGTCAGCGTCTGACAGACAGCTGTGAGAAGTGTGTGGTGTCTGATTAGTGCCTCTTTCTGTTTCTCTCTCTCTCTCTCTCTTTGGCATGATTACATAACAGGGGATGTCTAGTAAAATCTTGTGTTGTGTATGTGTTGTTACAGTATGTGCTGACTGACTCAGTACATATGTGTGACATAGATTCATCCAATAGTCTCTCAAGGATTTATTAGAGCGTCGTAAAAGTTTATAATCTATCTGCCCATTTATAATCTATAATGGGCAGCCTGCTCTTTCTCTTCTTTCTGCATCTGAGCATATCTTTTAGTAATCTTGGGCTTCCTGGGGAATTTTTTTTTTCTTATTTCCCTTTTCACCTAATCTTCTCTCTCTGTCACTCACTTGGCTCTGAAACTATTTCTGTGCACTCCGAATTCCAGATTTTCTTTCAGAAATAATCAAGCATTTGTTTTGAAAGCAATGTTTTGGTTGCTTTGCTTTAGCTGATGAACTGTGACCTGACATCATGATAAAGATACCATTGTTGTACTAATCTTCATAAAAATATCTAGTGCTGGGCGATATGACGATATATATCGTGTGGACGATAGAAAAGTGTCTATCATGCCATTTGTCTTCTACCGTTTCTAACCTAATTTTATAAATTATTACATAAAATATATCATTAAACAGCCTGTGGCAAATATATTAGTGTTGTCTTCTCACTATACATACTCTTAACTTTATGCAAGAGAAAATAAAGTTAAAAAAATATTTCTTTGCAAAATATTTTTTGCAAAGAAACTCCGTCTTGTGGTTTTGCGACATGGTGCTGCTTTATGTGCACCCGGATTTGCGTCATGCTTTACGGTAACTCAAAACGATGGACGTGCGACAGGTTGCAGTTTCATGCCTGGACATGCAACAGGAAGAGACAGCTACACAGGCAGCCCAAGAAGAAGCACTTTTACCGAAAAAAGAGGGGGTACGTCTGTGATTTGGTTACATTTTGGGTTCAACAGCACCAACATGGAGCAGAAGATGCCCATTTGCAAGCTATGCTATAAAACTATTCCTGCACTCAATGGCAACACAACAAATCTCTTCTATCACCTACAGAAGGTCCACGAAAAAGAAAACTCAAGAATCCAGAAAATCCGAGCTAAACCAAGTTGTGGAACGATGGGAGCAAGTTGAGAAAAGAAATAGCCAGCTGAAGATACAGCAGTCTTTCGCACAAGACACGCCGTATGAGAAAACGTTCCAGCGCCATAAACAAATCACAAGAGCCATCTCGCGTTACATTTGTAAAGGCATGGCTCCTGTTTATGTAGTTGAGAAGGACAGCTTTCGTGACCTCATCAAAGTCCTTGATCCGTGGTACGTTATGCCCGGTCGTAAGCACTTCAGTAAAGTTGAGTTGCCTCGCTTATATGATGCATGCCGGGCCAAAGTAGAGAAGGATGTTTGCAGTGTCGTGCATTATGCCTTGATGACTGACCTATGGACGAGCAGAGATACACAGCCCTACATGAGCGTAACCATCCCTTTCATTAACAAAGACAGCACCCTCTGTGCTCGCTGTTTACAGACTGCATACTTTCCAGATGACCACAGGTCAGGTGGTATATCATGATATATATTGTTATCGTGACATAAAATAATTCATATCGTGATAAATATTTTTTCCATATCACCCAGCACTAAACATATCTGTACATGACTATATATATATTCTATGCATGGTCACCAGCCTTAGCTTTGATACCAGCTATTGAACAAACATTTGAGTTTTTGCGCTCCACAATGACATTCAAACAGAACTGTAAGGCAAAATGTACTAAGTTCAATTTTGTAATAGAGTCATCATCACCCAGAAGTGATCCAGACTCTGAAAGCGAGCTAATTTAAACTGCTAAATGCTTTATCAGATATCTGTAGCTTCCTCTCAGTAAAGGGCACTTAACACAACTTCATCTGCTAACAGAGACTAAGTGAATTACTTTTTCTGACTGAAATGAGCCTTTTCAGTCTTGCTTGACTTATGTCCTTGTATGTGTCACTTTTTCATCGTGGAAACAGATTTTTTCCCCCTTTTTTTGAGCACAGTTGCACTGCTGTTTAATCCAGGAGACTGTCAGTTCTATGTGAGCCAGTCACCTAACAATGTATCTGCAGGAGATGAACAGGACTCCCACTGCTGGAACTCTACAGCACATACCTAAAATACTGTCTTCTACTTTGCAACTCTATCACAGTGATAAGACAGGCAGTAGAGTGTATGTTATCTGCTCTAGGTCTCACACACAGGACCACTGCAGTATTTCACTTCTTCTCTCTCACTCTCACTTCTCCTTCCTTTTTCTTTTTTTTTGTTCTTTGCCGAGTCCCGCCTCATCACCTCTCTTTCTCTCTTCCCACTCCTCTGGAGTTCTCTCATCTTTCTCCCCCCTGCTGCATCCTCTACCCCTCTCTACCTCTTTCCCCTCCTCCCCACATGTCTGTCTGTTCGAAACTGGAGCAACGTCTTAATCGAGGCTCCCGGACGTGACGGGAATTTCTAAGCAACCCCAGCTCTGCAGTACAGACACAAACACACATACACACACAAAAACACACACATTCTGCTTGGCAGCCAATTAACAGCCTGCGATCCCGCGCCAAAGGAATAACTGCATGTTGATGAGCTGGCGGCCGTGTGCGCTTGTGTGTGCATGTGTGTTTATGATGAGCTGGTGGCCGTCAGAGCCACTTACACAGATAGAAGGATATGTCTTTTATGTGTTCAAGGGAACGAGGGGGATTATGGTGCATTAAAAACCATCTCCGTGAGGGACAAACTAAGACAGTAACAAGGAAGTGTGAATTTGTGCCTGGGATTCTCTTTGTGTGTGCGGCGCTGTCCCGACGCTTTCAGGATATGTGGGTGTCGGTGCGTATAAGAAGCATTAGGAGAACAATGCAGATGATTTACTTGGAGCGGAGCCTTGCTTTCTCCTCCTCTTCCTCCTCCTCATCCTTCCTCTATTTTTGTTACTTTTCATTCTTCTCCACCTCCTCCTCACTTCTATCCTGCCTCCACTTTTGAGAGTTCATCCAAAGGTGAATGCTTGACAAAAAAGAAAAAGAAAAAGTATCTTTCCCACTCCAAAAAAATCATATATTCTCTTTATCTGTCAAAAATATTGACACCAACCATGACACAATATCCCCGAGCAGCAAACTGCTGTATTTGCCAGTCGAGGTTTCATCATCCGTCTTGTTTTCTTGAGAGACACAGTAGATGTTGAAAAGACTGTGGGTTTAAAACCTGGCTCCATGCTGTTTCTGCCCTACTTCTCTGCATCATCATCATATTAGTCTTTGTTCTATACTCTTAGGAAAGGTAAAATAAGTAAGGATAGATGAGAGGTATAAACTGCTATTAGAAAATCTGACAAAAATATCATTCAGTGCTGTAAATTATCAATGCAACATATTACAAGGCATGACAATAATTAATTGATTAAAATATATCTTTACATATTTCGGTTGGTGTGATTGTTTAGTTTGACGCATAAACAGTTGTGAATTTGTTTCTATGTGCAGAAGTATACATCCAGATGAGGGCTTTAATGTTAATTACCCTTTGGAAAAAACATGGAGTACATCTTGGATTGTGTAGTCTAGAGTCAGTATGTTACAATTATATGTGTATCATTACATCACATGGTTGTGTTATTCATTTCTAATCATAAAACTGTAAAACCACTAGTAGGAAAGTATTATTTTAACAAAAGGAAAATGCAAATTAAAAGGCAGGAAATCACAAAGCAGGTCTGCAAACAACTTGAAAAATAACAAGGAAAATTAATTTATTTATGTATTTATGCTTAGTATTTAATACCAAATATGGTATAATAGAAGACATATTTCAGAGGTATTTCAAAAGTTTTGGGAGTACATGTATGAGGAAGGAGATCCTGCCATCTAGTGGATGAAACCTCAAATTACTGTTGGAAGAATAATAAAAAGGCCATATGTATAGACGAGGTGTTTCATACTTTCTTCATAGACTTGTGAAAAGTTGTCGATTTTCAAAAAAAAAAAAAAAGTCTGGTCTGTATTGAATGATTTCCACTAAAAATTGAGTTTAACTTTCGCACCATAACTGAATATTGCTTCCCTCAAATCTAAGCTTGGTAGTTTTGTAGTCTCTTATGATCACTGGTGAAACTTGTAATGAAGAAATCATATGAGTGATGTCAGAAGTCCTGTGAAACCCTGGAAGAGTTCCCAGTCTTTCACAGGGTTAATGCTGAGAGAATGAATGTCATTCATGTTCACATTATGCAATCTATAATGAAGCATATGTTTGGACTGTGGGAGGAAGCCTGATTACCAAGAAAGATACTTCAAAGTATCCATGATGATGGTGCAGTACTTAGCACAGTTTCTTCACTCTGGCCTCACAGCAACAGCGAATCTACAGCTGGCTGGTTCAGGACTTTATGTGTGTAGTTTCTCACTGAATCTATGTGGGATCTGTTCAGCTGCTTCCTCCTGCAGTACAACAACATGCAAGTTAACTTTACTGGCGATTCTAAATTTGACAAAGGTATGACTGTGTACTTGAGTGATCTTCTGTCTTTCTCTGTGTTGGCTCTTCGACTGACTGTAAACCTGTTCAGGCAAACAAGTCCTTCTTTTGCTGGAGTATGCTGTCGGCAGACACAAAAGCTGTGTGATGGATATATAATCTCAACTTCACTTTAGCAATTTAATGGAAATGAACAAATTCATTCTGAGTATTTACTCATGATGCTAAATTAAATTAAGCGGATATTTCAGAAATGATTATTATTTCATTGCTCATTTGGTCTTCAAGATAAACACACTTTTGTCTGACAGATTTAAAGATACACATATTTATTCAGTCTTACAGTAATGAACAGATTAAATGATTTCAATTGATTTTTTTCTTTACTTTTAATTTTGGCTTTGTCTGACATTCATATTCTTGTAGAAACATTATTGTTGTTTCTTTAAAGAAAAAAGCAGACATATTTAATCGTTTTATTTCTTCTGTCAATCTGGAGAAATTAATAAAAATGGGATTTGATTGTGCAGACCAAAAAAAACCCACTTAATATTTAACTCCATGTGGGTAGTTTTAATTTTGTGTTGGTTCCCAACAAATGACAGCTCTGCATGTTAAAGTGAACAAGAAAACATTTATCAGTTCAGGTGTTAAAAAAAAATTAAAAACTGTGCATTTAGTTTCCACAAGGTCTATGTGAGCCGTGCTTTTTAATATCCAGCAGCCTATTTTACAAATGCAGTGCTACAGAATTCAAAGAA